CTTGGGCAGGGGGACAACAGAGGTGGCTCTTGGTCTGAGTTTTTCTTGGTCTCCAACTCTCTGTTCTTCAGCATCTGCCGGTGCTGGGCGCTGGCTTGGGAAACGTCGCAGACTTTGATGCGGTTCATCTGTGAGAGCTTCACATTCTTTATCTTGGGGTCAATAATGTTGATGTAACCCAAGACTTCGCTCCCGGGCTCAGGGTCAGGCTCAACCCAGGTGGGCAGATAGTCAAACATGTTGGCTTTCTCCAGATTCAGGAGGCCGGGGTGGATAAGGAGGGAGAGGTCTGCCACGTCACCATGCCTGTCGCCCGCCTGGCCCTCTGGCAGGGCTTTGCCTTTGTTGTCTGTCTTCTGGTTTTTGTCCTGGTTCTCAGAGGAAGTCTTGCTGATCTGGTCAGCGCTCTTGGCCTTCACCAGGGCATATTTAGGGTTTATCAGCTTCTTTACCACGGCGTTGGCAGGGGTCACTGGCACAACAGAGGGCAGCGTTACAGGCTCAGGTTCGGGCTCTTCACCCATGGAGATGGACTTGAGGCTCACCCCCTTGGACATGAGGTAGAGCTCCTGGAACTGCTTGTCAAATGCCTCTACTACTTGGCCTGAGAGGACCGTGATGACGTTTCGGTCTGTCCTCGCTGCAGACCAGGTGAAGCTGGAATAGAAAAGCATTGGAAACTCTCTGGGTGCTTGCTGGTAAATAACACTCCTCTCCCCAGCCCTGACTTTCCCCGGGGGATTGATGGTGCTAGCAGGGACACGCTGCTGTAAACATTAATAATAATGTCGAAGAAAAAGCTCCCATCCCAAATTGGAATGAAGGTTGAAGTCTTGAGCACACTGGAACTTGAAGTAAAAATAACTGTGGGCCAGTTAGTTTTTCATTTTGGCATTGGCCGCTTTTCTTTTCTCGGTTTGGGTTAGTTAAGAAAAGCAACTCATAAATGGATGTGTTTTTTGTTGTGGCCAGAAAGTAGGAAATGTTTCAGTTCCATGTTTACGAAACTTGTCTTTTAGAGCTGAAAAGCTTATTGAGGCTGAGCTATTTCTACCAAAGCAAGTTTTCACTTGGACAAATTGGAATAGACTTTGGGTAGGAAATGTTTAACTGGAGAAGCTGAGGTCAACGTGAGAGCCAGGACTGGCTGCGGTTTGGTGCTTTTGTCCTTCCTTGTGCTCATCACCTCCACTGCCAGAAGCACATGGAACAGGTTGCCCAGAGAGGTGGTGGAGGCCCCATCCCTTGAAACATTCAAGACCAGGTTGGATGGGGCTCTGATCAATCTGATCTGGTTAGCGGTGTCCCTGCTCCTTCGGGGGGGTTGGACTAGATGGCCTCTAGGGGTCCCTTCCCACCCAAAACATTCTATGATTCTATGAAAACGGGCTGAGGCCTCCAGCACTCCCCGAGGCTGCGGGAACGGGACCAAGAACCAGCTTAGAGGGGCTGGGGGCCTCGGACTTGGTGAAGCAGCAGCTTCCAGCCCATTCCTCTCGGGGCCAGGGGGAA